AGGTACCACTGTACTAAAATTAATCCCCAGCCAGATCTCCAACCCACCCCCCTGCCCCCCCAACAAAGCAAAAAGGGGGGAGAGAGGAAAAAAAAACCTTAAAATGCCACTGACTGCTTAAGGACATTTTAAAACACATTAGCCACTTGGAACAGGGAAGCAATAGCGGAACAATCCTGCACTTCCCCAAGGGTTTGTTCCAAATGAGTCCAGCCCCACTCTCTAGGCACTGCCACAGGAGTCCTGTTGTAGCTGGGAGAGTGAGGGCCTGGGCCACACCCCTTGGGCCAGCGGGAAAAGGCCTTGGAAGGGAGCAGGCCCTGCAGTCCTCACCTCAGCTGAGTGGCACCTGAATTCAGATGCAGTATTTGTCTGGGAAAATATGTGTACGTTGGCACAATACATTCCCGTTTCATGAAGAAACCGGAGAAAGGAGGTGGGAAATTATGGAAGAGCATGTGAATATCTGATTTATATAGATATTTCACACAGGGCTAATAGCAATTTAGGTAATGACACAGGTTATTCGTATGCACATTTTAGTAAGTCAAATTGAATAAATGGCAGGGATCCAAAGCTCCCATGACCCTGATCAAGGCAACAGAACAATATGGTTATTTGGGCTACCCAAGAAAATATATGGGGTTTGTGGCACCTGGGTGGGCAAAGTGTTGACACTCGCTTCAAATGCAACATGGACGTTAGGGACCTTATTCCCTTCTGGATATTCCTTCTATCTACACCACCCCTTTCAGACCAGACAACAAAGGGATGTGAGGAAATAGATGAAAGGAGACATTTTTAAAAAACATTGAATGTATTCTAATACCCCGTAGTGGGGGTGGGGTATTTATGAATCAACTAAGGTTAGATAATGAAATCTATGGCAAATGCGACCCTGGAAGGATTAACCAGTCTCCAGACAGAAGTTAATTTCCTGGTTACAACGGTTCTCCATGTGGCTCTTGATTGAATCTAGCTAAGCAGGGAGGTTTATGTGCTTTCTTGAACAACACCTGCTGTTATTATGTTGCTAGGAGTTGTGTAACAGAAGCCAGCTCCAGGTGTTGGCATAGATCTCTCAAGAGCTGTATGATGCCAGGTGTAAGCCTAGGCTTTACCCGATGTTCCTGCTCAAACTATGGGCACAGGCCCTGCATACCCACCCTCTCATTCAGTGTGGTTGTGAGAAAATTGGAAGCACCTGCTCCCTGTTTTAAACTAGCCAAAGTTTGTCATTATGTCTGAATTGTGGAGAGCTTGGTTTAGCTGTAGCTTCTTAATAAGCTGCGATCAACAACCATGACCTGATTGTGACTTTTTTCAACAAACCATAGTTTAATTTAAAGTTTAAGGTAACCAAAGGTACACCCAACCACCCCAAAGTTCAGACATAAGTAGTTCAGGTTAGTTTAAAACAGGAAGTAGATGCTTCCATAAGATCATACTCAGAATTGGAAAAGGCTTAAAAGATTATCCAGCCCAACCCTGTACCACTGAAGGAAATCTACTGCTAGGCAGCCCTCTGGAAATCTCAAATGAAGGTGAACTGAGCACTTCCAAAGACTCTTTGTTCCACTATCAAGCCGCTCATGTCATCGCGAACTCTTTCTTAAATATTTCTTATCTGTGTTCCCGTCCTACTCTTATCCAGCAATTGGCACCAATTCTTTAGCTTGGTAATACTAGGATGTTGGTCTTCTTTCCAGAACATCTAGTACCATTGTGCCCTCTAGCGGCTTAGAGCAGGAAAGGCAGGGGAAACATAACCTTTTTGTTCAAATTAGGCATATACAGTGGTACCTCCGGTTACATACGCTTCAAGTTACATACGCTTCAGGTTACATACGCTTCAGGTTACAGACTCCGCTACAGTGTACAGTGGTACCTCAGGTTACAGACTCAGGTAACCCAGAAATAGTGCTTCAGGTTAAGAACTTTGCTTCAGGATGAGAACAGAAATCGTGCTCCGGCAGCGCGGCAGCAGGAGGAGGCCCCATTAGCTAAAGTGGTGCTTCAGATTAAGAACAGTTTCAGGTTAAGAACAGACCTCCAGAACAAATTAAGTACTTAATCCAAGGTACCACTGTATATTGTGTCGCTCATAAGAAGGGCACTAATATTTTATGCTTTACCATCCTGCTTCAGCCAGTGCTGTGTCTCTCCAAATGTTGCTGAATTAAAGCCCCCACCATCCCTGACCACAGGCTATACTGCCTGGGGCTGATGGGAGCTGGAATTCTACTGCCCTGGAAAGCAACAGGTTCCCCAGCACTGCCCTATGCAATCTAAACTACAAACAGCAGAAAGCAAGCCTCTGAGTCAGGGATGGGGAGCCTGCCCATAGTATGTTGTTGGACTCTGTTATCCCTAGCCAACAATCAGGATGGTACGAGTTGTACTCCCAAAACATGCCAGGAACATATGTTCACCACTCCTCTGTTAGGCCCATGGTGGTCATAGAATCATAAAACTGTAGTCTGTCCCACTGTTGAATGGCTCTCACCATCAAAAAGTTTTTCCTACTATTTAGTTTTTGGAATCTCCTTTCTTGCAAATGGAATCCATTGGTTCCGGTCCCACTCTCTGGGGCAGAAAAGAAACAAGCTTGCTATGTAACCCATGTGAGAACCCCTCAGATTTTTTACTATGGCTGTCGATCCCTGGGGGTCATCTAGTCCAACCCCCTGCAGAGCAGGAATCTCAACAAAAGCACAGGTGGTCATCCAACATGTGCTTTAAAACTTCCAAGGAAGAAAATTCCACCACGTACCGAGGGAGTCTATTCCACTGTCAAACAGCAATTACCATCAGACAGTTCTTCCTGGTGTTTAGTTGGAATCTCTTTTCTTTTAAGTTATCTTAAATCCATTCATTTGGGTTATACCCTCTGGTGCAGGAGAAAACCAGTTTGCTCTGTCTTCCATGTGACTGGCCTTTAGATATTTAAAAGTGGCTATTCATATCTCAGTCTCCTTTTATCCAGGCTAAACATACCCAACTTCCACTGTTCCTCCTAAGGCTTGGTTTCCAGACCCTTCATCATCTTGGTTGCCCTCCTCTGAACACCTTCCTGCTTGTCAATATCCTTAAACAGTGGTGCCCAGTGAGTGGGTCATGATTCCTACTTTATTTTCTTCTATTGGAAGAAGTCCTCTGTTTCAGGACTGGGAACCCTGTGGCCCTCTGCATATTTTTGGACTACTGTTCACAGCATCCCTGACCATTGGCATGCTGTCTGGGGCTGAAGGAAGTTTCTGTCCAACAACAACTGAAGAGCCACATGTTCCCCAGACCTGCTTTACTTTAAGGGGAGATGGATCTGGGAATCTTGGCCCTTGTGCATTCAGACCAGTAGCTCCGTTGGTACAGCATGAGAACTCTTAATCCTAGGGTCATGGGTTTGAGTTCCATGTTGGGCAAAAAAGCTCCTGCATTAGATGTGGTCCCTTCCAACTCTACAATTCTATGCTTAAGTTAAAGTGATATTTCCTCAAATAAGCATGTCTGTCTGAAATATACTCCAAGTCGAGTGTGGATTTCATGCTCTTTATTCAGCTCATAGTAGTGAGGAATGAAAGTTCCCCCAAAATATCTTCTTTACATACATTATTTACACAATGGGCCCCACGTGATTGGCTAATTCTGGGATTCTCCTGTAGGCCAATCAGGTTGCGGATTCACTTCTACCTGGAGTGGACAAATCATACTGCTGCATTGTTCTAGGACCAATCAGACTGCTGCATTCTGGACCCTATTGTTCTAGGACCAATCAGACTGCTGCATTCTGAATCCTATTGTTCTAGGACCAATCAGACTGCTGCCTTTTGGATCCTATTCAAGTCAGTACATAACACTGTCCCTTCTTCCTCCCCCATTTCCCCTAGTTTTAGCTGTTTCCATTTGCTCCATTCATTTGTATGGGACAGGGAAAGTGGGTGACAATCAGGACACATTCCCAGAAGGCAACATAGTCACCATCATTCCATTATACAAAAACTAACTTTGCATAGATCAGTGAAATAGTTAGCCCTGAAAAATCTCAGCTCTTCATGCCTTCAGATCTAAAGTCCCCCTCCAGGTGTGTGATCCACCCCCCAAATATTTTTGTGTGAAGTGAAAACATCACATTATAATGCAATTCGCCTCTCACAGGGGAGGAGCAATAATCTACCTTATTTTTTTATCAAACATATTGTGCTAAAAAATAAATAGCGCATTACAGTGGTACCTTGGGTTAAGTACTTAATTCGTTCCGGAAATCCGTTCTTAACCTGAAACTGTTCTTAACCTGAAGCACCACTTTAGCTAATGGAGGCTCCCGCTGCCACTGCGCCGCAACCACACGATTTCTGTTCTCATCCTGAAGCAAAGTTCTTAACCCGAGATACTATTTCTGGGTTAGCGGAGTCTGTAACCTGAAGTGCATGTAACCTGAAGCGTATGTAACCCAAGGTACCACTGTATATGCTTGTGAGATGACAATTGCTTTTAATTTTCAACACTTTGCATAAGTTGTTTTCTTTCCCTCACACACTCCTTTGCCCCCTGCCCCCCTGCCCCCAATATCAGGCCAGGGTTGCCTCGACTCAAAAGCCAACCCCAAGGAATGCTCTCTTTCTTCCATCCTAGGACATCTTTCTCATGTGACTAATTTAGTTTGTTTATTTACCACTTCAAAGTCCTGATAAAAACCCTTCAACCTGTCAGATAAATTCTCCTGGCAGTTTGCTTTTATTAAGGTGTGGAATCATCCAGTCTAAATCCAAGAATGCCTTTCCCTGGGAGGGCAGGGGGGAGGAGGCTGATAAGGCTGGCTAAACTGCTGCTGCATGAATAGCCGCACACTCTTTAATGTGATCAACCATTTCTGCAGTCTTTTAATGTCCAAGAGACCTGCTTAGACTAAAGCCTCCTACGTACTACATTCACTGAACTAGGCCCTCCAAATGTTACTGGATGGGAACCCCCATAGTCAGCCACACTGCTTGAGTCTGATGGAAGTTAATTCAACCTTTGGAGGGCTACAGCCTCCCCATCCTTGCAAAAGCCCCACCTTCTAATCTAAGGATGGGAAAACTATAGCCCTCCAGATGTTGTTGGAGTACAACTCCCATCATCCTTGACCACTGGCTGTACTGCCTGGAGCTGATGGAAGTTGGAGTCCAATAACATCTATGGAGTGCACAGGTTCCTGCTCTAATCCTAAGAGTATGGCGCAAACCACAGCTGTTCAGTTTTGAGAAGCAAGAGCTCCGCACATGCCCCAAGCCTCCCTTTGTGTCAGTATTCCATACATCCGGTTCTGCCACTGAACACAAGCGGAAACCTGGTGTACCTGCTGCTTTCTATCTACAGAAGGTATTTCAGGAGCAGGTCTGATGCTCTCATTCAGTGCACTGGTGCCTTCAAGCACTGGCGCATGGCTGGCACTGTAATACTGATATTCTACACGGTAAACTGGTGAAAACTGAGGGAAGAGAACTTGATGAAGAGAGGATCCGCTGAGCACAGGGAAGGGAAGGGATGATGAGGTGAAATCCTTATACAACCCACACCTTGCCACAGGACAGCTTGCAGGATGTCTGTGTGTGGTGACAGTTCATTGACTCGCCCATTGAGCACTCAAGTGCCAGACCAGAAACCTCTGTCACCTTTGAGTCTGCACTGTTTCCAGCTACATGCTAAAAACATTTTTTAAAATTGTGTTGGAAGGGATCTTGAAGGTCCTCCAGGCCAGCCTCCTAAACAGTGTGGGATCTGCAATGCAAGATGCAACTTACAGCAAGGGTCACAATGGTAGCACATAGCTGTAAGCATAGCTGCTGTTTTCTACACCTTCTTGGGGGGGCACTTTTGGCTGTGTGCACACAATACAATTAAAACGCATTATTCCTTGCACAGCTACAATTCCCAACACTCTTAACTACAGTTCCTATGAATCTTAGGGGAAGGCCTTGTGGAACGCCCCCACATAGCCAATACAATACAAATCTGAGGTTCTGCCCCCCTAACAAAAGCCTGCCCCCTTAACAAAAATCCTGGCTATGCCCGTGCCCCCAGCCATTGCCAAGTTCAGTGAAAGTGAGGCAGTCTAGCACCTTCACATTTCCACTCATCCTTCCCATCCCTGGAGCAGAGGAGATGAGCATCAGGGCCTTGGCAGAATGCTACCTCTCTTGCCAAGTTTTGGCAGCAGCAGCAGCAGAAGTGGCAGGGTGGGCAAGGGGGTGCAGCAGAAAGGCAGAGAGTGACATACAGTGGTACCTCTGGATGTGAACAAGATCCGTTCCGGGGCCCCGTTTGCATCCTGAAGTGAACACAACCAGAGTCCGTGTGTGTCACAATTCGCCGCTTCCACGCATGATGTCATTTTGAGCGTCTGCGAATGCGCAAGCGGCGAAACCCGGAAGTAACGCGCTCTGTTACTTCTGGGTCGCCACGGGGCGCAACCCAAAAATGCTTAACCTGAAGCTATGTCAACCCGAGGTTTGACTGTACAGTGGTACCTCAGGTTACATACGCTTCAGGTTACATATACTTCAGGTTACAGACTCCGCTAACCCAGAAATAGTACCTCAGGTTAAGAACTTTGCTTCAGGAAGAGAACAGAAATCATGCCCCAGTGGCACGGCGGCAGCAGGAGGCCCCATTAGCTAAAGTGCTGCTTCAGGTTAAGAAGTTTCAGGTTAAGAACGGACCTCCTGAACGAATTAAGTACTTAACCCGAGGTACCACTGTATTCCCACTTCACCTCAGGTGGTGATACACATTTCTGTCTAAAGCAGGAAACGGCAAACTTCAAGCTTGCAGGATCTAATCTGTGGTGTAAAAATATAACCCTGAGATTCATTAGCTGAAGCCTGACGCAGAAGACATATAGTTGAAATTACATAATCTTGAGCTCAGGATTTTGTTTCCAGTCCCAGACCTGAACTGAGCTCAGTCCTTGCATACAAAACCAGTGCGGCATAGTTGTTAGGGTGATGGACTGGACTGAGGAGACCAGGGTTCAAACTCAGCCATGAAGCTCTCTGGGTGACTTTGGGCCAGTCACTGCCTCTCAGCCTACCTCACAGGGTTGTTGTGAGGATAAAATGGGGAAAGGAAAAGAGCCCATGATGTCCTCGGAGGAAAGATGAGATATAAAAAGCACAAATAAATAAACAAATAAACAAATCCATTCATGGGGTTTCCCACCCACCCCGTTTCAGCACATAATTTAGTGGTTCATTTTGCTGTTGCCATCATTAAACAGCTAGGAGTAAGAATTCCTTGCAGTGCACACAGAGATCTACCAGTACATCCCCACCTACCCTTTGAAGCCCACACCTGGCCTAAAAGGGAGCCATCCAAAACACATTAAGTCCAAGTTCTGAAATTGCCCAGCTTCCCCACCAGATCCCATCCTCATGTTAATCAAGTACAGTGGTGCCTCGCAAGACGAAATTAATTCGTTCCGCGAGTTTTTTCATCTAGCGAATTTTTCGTCTTGCAAAGCACGAAATCCCATAGGAATGCATTGAAATCCAATTAATGCGTTCCTATGGTCAAAAAAAGTCCAAACAAAGCCAAATTTGGTACAACAAGAGTTTATTAAGTGCTCTTTAAAGTCACACATACTGTAAAGAGCATTTCAAAAATTGAAGGAACAATAAATTAAGTTTCTAAACATGACAGAAAAACATTTAAAAATCAACAAAGTGTACAGTACATTTTCTAAGACTCTGGGGGGACAACTCGAAGAAGGTTCCTCTTCCACTCTTTGCTTCTTGCTGAAGAACCCCCTCCTCAACTGTTCCCCCAGCCACCCACCACACAGAAATTCAAATCCAGAATTTTTTTTAGAAAACAGCAGAGTGGCCCAATGGTCACAGAAAATCATAAAAATGCAGGAAAAAACCACACAAGCTTCCAGATGCTTGCAAACCCCTCCTCAACTGTTCCCCCAGCCACCCACTACACAGAAATTCAAATCCAGAATTTTTTTTAAAAAAACAGCAGAGTGGCCCAATGGTCACAGAAAATCACAAAAATGCAGAAAAAAACCACACAAGCTTCCAGATTCTTGCAAACCCCTCCCCAACACCAAGTCCTTGAATTCCAAACACCCCAACCCAAAATCCAAAACCCCCCAAAAAAGTTTTAAAAGTTTAAAAGAAGTTTTGGAAAAGCTTCAAAAATCACCAAAGTCTTCAAAAACCTCAAAAAAGGCTACCACACCGCGTTCTATGAGTTGCTCCTCGAAGTCAAGTCGCAACTGTATTAACGGTGTTAAGAAAAGGAAACAAACTTGCAAGACGTTTTCGTTTTTCGTCTTGCGAAGCAAGCCCATAGGGAAATTTGTCTTGCGAAGCAGCTCAAAAAACGGAAAACCCTTTCGTCTAGCGAGTTTTTTGTCTTGCGAGGCATTCGTCTTGCGGGGCACCACTGTAAGCAAACACATCTCTAAACCTGCAGGCACTTTAATGGCATTGCGAGTCTGGAGCAGATGGCTTTAGCAACACGTTCTCTCCCGAGTCTAATAATAAACCAAACACACTGGGAAGACAGATGATAATGTTCTTGTTGTTGTCTCAGAGTTGCAGGAGCCTTTGCTGCCCATCTCTTTTTACTTCTGTCCCACAAAATTGTTTGACCAATGATGCTCACGGGACGACGAGTGTACAGTATATGTGACACAGGCAATGCAGAACATTCTTCTCCCTCTCTAGAACGGATATGTGAGATTCATTAATTCTAAAGGCGTCAACCAGGGCTGAGAAAGAGTTTGGTGTAGTGGTTAGAGAGTAGGAACAAGGGCCTGGGAGAGACCAGGGTTCAAAACCCCACTTAGCCATGAAGCTCACTGGGTGGACTTGGTCTAGTCATTGCCTCTTCCAGTCTAACCTACCTCATGGGGTGGTTGTGGTGATTAATTGAGATGGGGGGAGAATCATGTATGCCACCATGAGCTCCTTGGAGAAAAAGGGTGGGGTATAACTGCAATAATTAAATAATTAATGCAAAGATATCGTTAAATTTCCCCCGGACTTGATCCCTGAACACTTGGTAAGTGGTGGCTGAATGTTTGAACCAGCTCAGTTGAAAAGTATTTTTGTTGAGAAAAGGCTGAGGTGATAGGATACTTCCGCCTGTAGGTGTATTTGAGGAGGTTTGGCCTCCCCCAAGTTGATGGGCATTGCCATTCAAATGCTGTGCGTGCGTGCCACATCTTGTGAATGATTATGTGGGGTGGGGCTTACCTGGAGCCTCCCCCCCCCCATATTTTATTCAAGTTGACACCCCTGACTGGAAGCCACCAGGCTCCTCCTCATCCCTGAACTAGGCTGTGGGGCTACTCAGGGCCAGGAACATAGCTGTCAACGTTTCCTTTTTAAAAAAAGGGAAATTCCCTTATTTCGAATAGGATTCCTCGCAAGAAAAGGGAAAAGTTGACAGCTACGGCCAGGAAGAGTATGCAGCCACATGCATCATTCTCCTGGGCTGAATCCTGGCACTGCAAATCTCTTCCAGGCCTGAGATCTTGTTGCCGACAGTGCCTTGTTACCGCCATAAACCTACTCATCCCCTTTGCTAAATCCCCATGCAAGGGAAAAAGATCACCTGGGGAAGGCTTCTCCAGCCTAGTGCCCTCTGGTGGGGGAGGGTTGCAGCTCACTGGTGGAGCACCGGCTTGGCATATAGAAGGCCCCTGGTTCAGTCCCCCGTGGCATCTCCACCCCCGCCTGAAACGCTAGAGAGCTGCTGCCAATCCGTGTAGGCAATACGGAGCTGGATGGAGCAATCATCTGACTCAATATATTCCTATGCTTTGGACGGCAGTCCCTGGGGATGATGGGAGTTGTAGTCCAAAAGACCTGCAGGGCACCAAAAGGCTGATCTGCGCCATGCGTCCCGTGTGCTATTGCGAGGCTCGACGTCCAGGTCCCAACCCAAGCCCTTCTAACTTGTCTCTTGCAGGCTGCACTTTCCAAGAATGGAAGTTGTCAGATAAGACGCCCAAGCAGGGGGCTAAAATTAGCCCGAGAGCCCTTATTTGATCGGCGGCCGGCAGCAGCGCAGCTGTCCACTTAGCCGGCTGGCGCTAGCCTTCGCTTTCCTTCCTAGTCGGTGCCCCGACGACCACCCCCCTGGTCCCCTTCCCTTCTCTCGCTATTCTGGCCCAGGGAGAAACCCGCGATGTGGGGCAGCCCCTTGCCCTAGCTGGTCCCCAGCGACCTCACAGAGGCCCGGCGGCGACGTAGCCGGGCTGGCCGGCGGCTCACCAGACACCGCTCCGTCGAGGCACAGCCAAGCGACTCGCAACCCGCCCGGCCAGCAACCAGCTCGTGAGTATCTTCAGCCAGGTGGCCTCCCCGTCTCTCCACCCGCCTGGCCATGACTCCGAGTCCTCCACCTGGAGAGGCAGATCGGTTTTTTCCCGGGGCGGCTGGGAGCTGGTCCCGCTTCACACGTGCGCGCCTACAAGCAACTCCCAGGCTCTCTTTCTACGCGCTGGATCGCTGCCCACTTGGCCTGGCCTACTAAGCGGAGGAGGTGGCGGGGATGGATTGCGATACTTGGGGGGGGGGGCGGGGAGGGGGGCAATTAACCCTGGTACGTGGACAAAACCAGAATATTTTTCCCTGATATGAAGTGAAATTTGTTGGTTTCTAGAATGGGTTTTGCTGTTGTTTTCCGACAGGAAGCCCTGAGAAACGGTGGTGCAATCCTTTCAAGATTCTAATTCCGAGTTCCACTGCATGTCTCCACCTACAACAGACGTATTACATTCGTGTACAGTCATTGTGCAGATTTATTTTTTTGCATTTTTGTCCACCTTTTTCTTCCAAGGTGGCACACATGGTTCTCCTCCTCCCTCATTTCACACTCACAACCTCCCTGTGTGGTAGGTTAGGCTGAAAGCTAGCAACTGGTTCAAGGTCACCCAATGAACTTAAGGACTGAGCAAGGATTTGAACCCTGGTTTCCCAGGTCCCAGTCCAACCTCATATATCATACTGCCATAGGGATTGTGGAAGGAATAAGTGCACCTCAGGGCCATTCAGCTGGTTAGAATTATTGTGGTATGTATTAACACAAATTTCAAAACTGCACTTGATTGTCCTTGTAACTGTTATAAAAATTATTTTGACTGTTTTAAAGGATATGCCTGTAAATTACCTTGGGGCATATTATGTGGAGAGTGATTTGCAGACTAAATAATAATGCAAATAATAATATTAAGCTTGGATACACAGGAACATAATGGGATGTGGGTGGCGCTGTGGGTTAAACCACTGTGCCGCTTGGGCTTGCCTATCGAAAGGTCAGCGGTTTGAATCCCTGCAATGGGGTGAGCTCCCGTGGTTCGGTCCCAGCTCCTGCCAACCTAGCAGTTGATAAATAGATAAATAGGTAGATAAATAGATAAATAGTAGATAAATAGGTACAGCTCTGGCAGGAAGGTAAATGGCATTTCCATGCACTGCTCTGGTTTCACCAGAAGCAGCTTAGTAATGCTGGCCACATGACCTGGAAAAACTGTCTACGGAAGTGGACAAACACCGGCTCCCTTGGCCTGTAAAGAGAAATGAGCGCCACAACTCCAGAGTCGTTCGCGACTGGACCTAATTGTCAGGGGTCCCTTTACCTTTTTACACAGGAACATAGGAATCTGCCTTATACTTAGACCTTTGATCTATCTAGCTTAGTTTTGCCTACACTGAATGGCAGCATCTCCAGAATTCCAGACTGGATACATTCCCAACCCCAATTGGAGATGCTGGGGATTAAACATGGAACCTTCTGCATGCAAAGCAGGTGCTCAATGACAGCCTTGTTTAGACCCTGGCCTTAATACTCTCACAGGGGCTTCCTTAGACAGACATTTATTACTTTGGTTGTGAAGCACACAATTAACATTCCCCACCCCCCATACACCATGCTCTTTACATTCCTTATATCAGAACTTTCCAAACTGTTTGTTGCGACATGTTAGTGTGTCAGCTGCAGTGTGTAGGTGTTCCGTGCAACTGCTCCCTGCGTTCCTCCCAGGGCTGGAAATAAGTTAGTTTGATTCCGGTTTGCTAGTAAAACTGAATTACTGTGTCACAAAATGGTTCATGTCTAAAAAGTGTGTCACCAACATGTAAAGTTTAGAAAGCTCTGCCATATATGTTAAAACTAAAAGGCATTCTGGCCAACCCGGATTATTATTATTATTATTATTTGGAATAAGAAAATAAATACTCTACTCACATGCAGTTTTACTTTTAGACTCACCTATAGCATGATCATGAGAATGGGAATAAAATAGGGTTTGTGTCTGCTGCCCTAAAGCTAAATGCCTTGATTTAGAAATGAGCCCCGTTTTGTTGAAGAAAAGGATAATGTGGTTAAAGTAAAGATAACAAAACGAGCATTTCTAATAATGTACTTGCCTTGCTGGCCACCTTGACTTTAAATGGAATAATAATAATGAGAAGAAAATAAAGGATGCTGTGGCAAGCTGGACTTGTTTGCTGCTGGTCCCATCACCTACTGCTTCCTGACGCCAGAGCTAAGGTCCTGCACAACTATATAGAACACCCCTCTTGTATGTACCCCTCTTTACATTAAACTCATTATGGTAGGCCTCTTTCAGTATGCTGCCCCAGCCTGAAGTTTGGAGGCCTCTTTGGTGGTGGTCCCTCAGCTCTGAATTGGTTTCCCTAAAGAAGCTCGTCTGGTGCCCACATTGTTGTCCTGGAATAAAATGAGAGGTCCTCTTGTAGATCAGGAGCTGGTTATGTAGCAGGAAGCAGAGAGTAGGAATAAATGGATAATTCTTTGAATGGAGGGGTGTAGAAAATGCAGTCCTCCAAAGATCAGTATTGGGAACTGTGTTTTTAAACTTGTTAATAAATGATCTGAAGTCAGGGGTGAGCAGTGAAGTGGCCAAGTTGGTGGATGGTACTCAATTCAGAATCCTTAATACAAAAGGGTTGTGAAGAGCTCTCCAAACTGAGTGAATGAGAAGTAGAATGGCAAATGCAATCCAGTGTAAACAAGTGTAAAGTGATACATGTTGGGGCAAAAAAATAAATCTTAATTTCACATGTGCACTCATGAGGTCTGAACTGGAGATGACTGAGCAGGAATGAGACCTTGGGGTCATAGTAGGTAGCTCAATGAAGATGCCAACCCAGTGTGCAGCAGCTGTGAAAAAGGCAAATTCCATGTGAGGGGTCATTAGGAAAGGAATTGGAAATAAAACATCATAATGCCTTTCTATATAGGCTTGCAAGCTCATTTGGAATATAGTTCACAGTTCTGGTCGCATCGCCTCAGAAAAGATATTGCAGAGCTGGAAAAGGTTCAGAAAAGGGCATCCAAAAAGGCTTTTTCAATGCCCCTATGTGGAAAGGTTGCTGGGTTTGGGACATTTTAGTTAAGAGTAAAGGTGAGTAAGAGGTGACATGATAGAAATTAATAAAATTGTGCATGGCCTGGAGAAAACTCCCATTCCGTCCTGTCCCCCTACCCTGTATCTTATAACTCTAGAACTCGTGGATATTCAAGGAATCTGAATGTTGAAAGATAATCATTAAGGACAATTTTAAAAAGAAAGTGCTTCTTCATGCATTTCATAGTTAAGCAATGGAACATTCGTCCACAAGACGTAATGATGACTACCAACTTGCGTAGCTTAAAATTCATGGATCATAAAGCTGTCCTTGGCTACTTACTGGCCATAATGGAGCCTATGTTCTGAATACTTCCAAAAACCAGCTGTTGGTAACCCCAGGAGGGGAGAAGTCTCTTGTGCTTGGGCCCTGCTTGGGGGTTTTCCATAAGCGTTTGGTTAGCCACTGTGTGAACAAGATGCTGGACTAGATGGGCAATTGGCCTGTTCTTATATTGCCCTTTCAACACCAGCCTAAATATTTCCAATTTCCCAATCCTTCTAAGATATAGTTCTTTTCAGTGGTATGGCTGGTGGGTGGTTTTTAGGTTCTGTATTTGGTATTTCATCTCCTGTATTCCTTGAGTTCGAGTATTATGAGAGGGAGAGAAAAAACTCTCCCCATTTTCTCCAAATCACATGTTGCAACCTTTCCTCCTAGGGGACTTGTTCCAGTCCCAAGATCTTGGTACAGGCCTCCCTGGATAGGCTGTAACTAAGGCTTGTGGGTGGCTGTTTCCAAAACCAGGGTGGACTTGTCCAGGCTGAGGTCGCGAGGTGAACAGCTGGAGATGGATGCTTTGCAGGAGGCTCTGGCCTCTCATTTCGGAGCAGGAATGGAGGAGCAGGGTGGTTGACTGAGAGGATATATTTGGATGCTTCGGAGATGGAATGCATCTGAAATTCTTTTTTTACCCTTCCTCCGAGCTTAAAGCATTTCGTAGCTGGGCAGGTGGAGATTGGCATTCCTTCAAGTGAAAAATGTTAGGAATTGGCTTCCAAAGGGCCTCCCTGGCTGTCTGGAATATATTTCTGCCCCCCCCTTTTTGGGGGCTAACATCTGATGCAGCCCCCACCACTATCACCCCAATCTCAGACTGCAGAAGCACTTGCGATTTTTACGGATTGAAATGTTAATAGCGTCAGGATAAGAGTAAAAAATTGGCCACTCACAGAAGATCCTTCCTGCAAGGGGCAGACTTTGGTAATCATTCGTAGGATTGCGTCCAGTGCAAGACCAACATTTGGCGGCCCCAAATGGATATTCTCAGTTGTGGATCTTCTCAATTTTTTACCCCCTTCAGCTTGGCACCCTGCGTGGGGGAAATGTACGCAATGCCCCATATCCAGTGCTGCTCTAGCCTATTCTGTTCCTTCATGAGCCATCTGACTTTTTTGGGGGGGATGAAGTCAAATCCAAAGCAGTGACTCATGCAGAAACACATTATTAATTAATTAATTAATTAATTTTTTGATTTATTTCTACCCTGCTTTTTTTTTTTAAAAAAAAAGTGGCTTACAAAAATTAAAGCAAGGCTAAAACATTGAAAGCAAAATACATATAATGCACCATTTTAAAAGTACCATATTTTTTGCTCTATAAGACTCACTTTTCCCCTCCTAAAAAGTAAGGGGAAATGTGTGTGCATCTTATGGAGTGAATGCAGGCTGCGCAGCTATCCCAGAAGCCAGAACAGCAAGAGGGATTGCTGCTTTCACTGTGCAGTGATCCCTCTTGCTGTTCTGCCTTCTGAGATTCAGAATCTTTTTTCTCTTGTTTTCCTCCTCCAAAAACTTGATGCGTCTTGTGGTCTGGTGCGTCTTACGGAGCGAAAAATACGGTAATTTAAAATGGATTTGAAATCATGTAAAAAAACAAATTTAATAAAACACAGTAAAAACATTAAAAACAACACAGCACTGCTAAGGTCTTCTGCAGTAATGTCTCTCTCTAATGCAGAGATGGGGAAACTATTTCAATCTGAGGGGCATAGCCAACCTTCTGGGGTGGGGGAAATGTGCTAATAGTGGGTGGAGCCAGAGACAAAAGTGGGTGGAGCAAAGGATATTACTTTGTAGAGTAGGCTAGATTCCAACCATGCAAAAGTCAGATGTTTCAATTTTCTATGCATAAACACACATGTGCAGACAGATGACAGACTACTCTCCATCAGACAAGCAAGAGGAAGTTCAAGCATAATTTCAAACCAGCCGAAAGCACAGGAGGAGAGTGCAGACCAGGTCCAGTGAGGGGTGCAGCCTTATAGAGAGGGATGTTGCTTGGGAAGAATCCCGGGGACCCAATAGAAAGGCATGGAGGGTCACAATTAGCCCTGTGTTTCCCCACCTCTGCATGAGCACCTGCAAAACACACCTACAGTAAGCAAGGCCTTTTATCAGCAACAACTGTTCTTGGATGGGGAATGTCTGGCCACTGATTTATGCATTGGTATCCTCAAGATTCAGTAATTGCAGTTCACTCTACATGGAGCTATCCTTGGGCCTGGTCTGGAGGTTCCTGCTGATGGAGAATGCTGCAGCTAGACTGTTGAAGGGGACAAACTATTGCCAGCACATAACTCAAAAGCTTGCACTGGCTGCCTGTACACTACTGGACCAGGTTCAAGGTTCTTGTATTCATTTTCAAGGCCCTTAACATTTTGTCTCTAGGATACCTGATACCTTATATCCCTGCTTGATCACTGAGATCTTTGTGGGGAGCCACTATTAGTGGATCCCCCATGGCTCAGATGCATGGCTTGAATCTGCTAGAAACCATGCATTCAGTATTGTGGGCTCTATTTTATCCCTTAGAGTTGAGGTCAGGCAGGCCCCCTCCCTGTTGAACTTCCAGTGCCCACTGAATTTTAATTTTAATTTTGAGTCATATGTGATTTTATAGTTTTTAGCTGATTTTTATCTTTATCAGACACTGCTTAGGGACTATTGTAACTAAGAAGTAAACAAATAAACTGTCAGAATAATAAATAAGAATAATAACTGAAGTTTTTACGGCTTAGGCGGGATGGTTTGGAAGGAGGTGATTCTTCATATATTTGGGTCAAAAGCTGTTTTAAGGGTAAGTACCTGCATGCTGATTTTGGCTCAGCCATGAATAGTCACCCAGTGTAATTCTTTCCAAATTCAAGTAATATAATTCTGGTAGCCAAGTTCTATATAAATCGCATCAGTGCTGGCCCTATTCACATATTTACATAGCCACTTTCTGCTGCAGTCTGTGATGTACCTGCATGTGTGACTCAACCCAGAGAGCTTGATCTCCATGACTGCTTTCTAAATCGCAGAAACTGGCCATTAGCTCCACTGACCCCCATCCTTGCTTATTAGCTGATCCCCAGGTCTCTATTACAAATGCAACCCATATACAAATATGGATTTGAATGAATTTTATATAGGAGATGGTGTTGATGTTGTTTAAATTGTTGTTCTAACTTATATATTATTTATGCATTTAGACAATTTATATAGTCCCCAAGCAGTGTGCAAAGACTACAGTATAATGTAAACAAAAATGGGTGAAACCCATAAACTTAAAATGCCTCCTGAAATAAAATTAAAAAGTCTTTAGTGAGGCCAGGAGTTCAACTGTAAAGGGACCTGTCTGACCTCAACAGCGGGGAGGCGGATTTCCACACATTGGGCTCACCATGGTGAACATACAGCTCCTGGGGGATACAAGCATGCATCCATAATTGGTCCCCCCCAGTTGTTTTAATATATAAAAAGGTGACACCTGCTTTCAAATATTCAATTGCTCTATGCGTGCTTTAATTGTAAATAGCTTTGGCATGCCTCATGGGAAGCAATTGACAAATGAAATAATAATAATGAACAATAATAATAACTTTTGCTCACCGTTCCCACCAGCCAGGAGCCCCTATCACACATGCATCCCATGTATAACCAGGACATTGTGACTGTGTTTTGTTTATTTGCTTTGCCTTATAGCTCTCTAGCATTGCACAGTTCATGATGAAAATCACCCTCAAGAGACAAGCAAAGATGAGCCTGGTGGACATAACCAAGATTTTCTCCATGCTCCAGCCCAGTGAAGATGAGGAAGGCGATGAAGAAAGACAGGAGCTGAATCTCGCCGTCTCCCAGGACAACTACAGACTTCTGGACGAACTGTTGCGCCAAGAGAGATACAGGCGGTTCATCAACAGCAGGAGCGGCTGGGGGGTGCCAGGGACCCCGCTCCGCCTGGCGGCTTCAAAGGGCCACGTGAGGTGCGTCAAGGTCCTCCTGGCCCATGGAGCCGAAGTGGACAGCCTGGACGTGAAGGCCCAGACACCACTCTTCACAGCTGTCAACAATGGCCACCTCAACTGCGTGATTGCCCTCTTGGAGGCAGGGGCCAGTCCTTCTGGCAGCATCCACAACAATTGCACCCCACTGCTCACGGCAGCAAGAGAAGGGGACATCGACATCCTTCAAGAACTTTTAGAACATGGGGCAGAGGCCAACGTCAAAGCCAGAGTCCCGGAGTGGGCGGCCAACTCTGTTGCCTGCTCGGGCCCTTTGTACCTGTCCGCTGTCTATGGGCACTTGGAGTGTTTCAAGATGCTGCTGCTCCACGGTGCGGATCCCAACTACAACTGCACTGATGAGAAGATGATCACCCGCATTAAGCACCCAAAGAGTCTGCTGGAAATCTGCTTGAGGCACGGTTGTGGAGCCGAATTCGTCAAACTCCTGATAGATTTTGGAGCCAATGTGTACCTACCGGGTATTGTGCTCGATAAGATCTCAGTGAACTCTGAGATGCTGGATTTGTTGGCCAGAGAAAGAGGTAACTTTTTGCCATTTATTATTATTATTATTATTATTATTATTATTATTATTATTTTGTAACATCCATTACTGTGTATGCACCATACATTTTAAAGCGCGCACACACCTTCAAAGAATCCTGGAAATTGTAGTTTGTTTAAGATGCTGGGAACTGTAGCTCTGTGAGGGGTAAACTACAGTTCCCAGGATTTGTTGGGGAGAGAAATTCACTTTAAATGTACGGTGTGTACACAGCCACTGTTTTTTATTGTCACAACAATACAAACACAACACGTAGGCTAATGATATCATTATTCTATTATATATTTTCTATGTGTTGTGTTTGCATTGTTGTGATTAGTTCTTATTGCAACACAAGGGTTTGTTTTTGGTTCGCTGTTTTTTATTGTGACATTCATGTCTTGTCTTTGGAAAGGACCTGCTTGTTAAAGCAAACACAGCCAACTAAATTCACTAAAGTGCAACTACTTTGTCAATTAACAAATACTGTTTAAATTGAATAGATATACTCTGATAAAGTAACAAAAAGGGCCCCTTAATATGCTCAGTTGCAAATTTAGGACCCGTCCACCTGTATTGTGTAAATGCCTGATCAGATGTGTGGCCCTTCCTGCCAAAAGTATTTGGCTCCAGCCACTTTTCCTATAAGGAATGTGCATTGGCTTCACCCCTCTCACCATATACATCTTTCAGGATAGCTCTCCAGAATTTGATCAAATACTTCAAATACTAGGGAATAGCTCAGTGGTAGAACATCAGCCTTGCAAGCAGAAAGTCCCAGGTTCAATCCCTGGCAACTCCAGGTAGGATTAGGAGACACTCATGTCTGATAGATCATCTCCCTGTCTGTCATGAGGAGGTGGATGTAGATTTCAGTAAATGTTAGAACTGCAAAATTATGAACACCTGAGGTGTTTCTCTAAAGTGCCTTCCCATATTTCTGTTCAGCTCCCTGCTTTTGTTCTTGGCTAACGCCTCCGACATTGAGGAGTTCTGGGGGGCTTGAAAGCTCAGCGGTACAATCATCATAGTCTCTCCATTTCCTTTTTCCTTCCCACCCCCTTTCCAGCTGTCCCCAAATCCTTGATGTCGCAATGCAGACTAGCAATCAGGAAGTTCCTAAAACTGGCCAACCGTCCCTTTGCTGTGGATCAACTGGATATCCCACTGTCGCTGCTGAACTACCTCAAACACCGGTCGTAACTGAAGATCAAAGTTGGAACTGCCCAGGGTTACCAAGTATTGTAACTGATTAAGGGTAAAGCAAAAAAAAAACATTCTAAGAATAGAAAGAAGCGTGATTTGGTGGCATTGTTTAGATTTATTGTGTGTGTGTATGTGTGTAAGTATTGCCTATGCTGCATTTATGCAAGAACACTGTTTATTTTTCTTTAGAGCCAGTGTGGTGTAGTGGTTAAGAGCGGTGGACTCGTAATCTGGTGAACTAGGTTCGCGTCTCCGCTGCTCCACATGCAGCTGCTGGGTGACCTTGGGCTAGTCTTTGAAGTCTCTCAGCCTCACTCACCTCACAGAGTGTTTGTTGTGGGGGAAGAAGGGAAAGGAGATTGTTAGCCGCTTTGTAGTGATAAAGCAGGATATCAAATCCAAACGCTTCTTCTTCTTTCTTTAAGCAGAAGTCAATCAAGTGGAATGAAAACTGAAAACCTCACTGTATACTGTAGATATATTCTAGATTAAACACCCTATTTTGTTATTATTTTTAAAAGTACCTGGCCAAGGTGTTCTTGACCAGTCTTCCCCAATCTGGTGCCCTTCAGGCGTTCTGGATTGCAACCAGCGTCTGCCCATGCGTGAGGCGAGGTGAAGCCATTTGCCTCATGCAGCAGATCTGACCCCCTCCCCGCTTCACTGTTACCCCATTCCAAGCCCCATTCATGCCGCCAACAATGTACTCACTGCACCCTTGCCACAAAGTTGGGCCAGCAGTGCAGCTACAGGCGAGGGTACAGGTGCAGTGATGGGACTGGCAGCAACATGGGAGCAATGGCGAGGTCAGGCAGAGGGAGGGGACCCAGATCTATGGGGTTGGGGCAGGGGGATTAGGTGTTTTGTCTGCAGCAGCAAAATGTCTCTGACAGCAACTCACATCATCCCCAGCCAGACCAGCTGTTTGAGATCCTGGTCCCCCTTACAGTGTAGAGCATTTCTACCAAGGCTGCTAACAGCCTGATCTTATGCATGCCTGCTCAGAAGTACGGTACCTATTGAGTCTAATGAGGCTTACCTTCCCACCCACCACTTACTCCAGATAACTGTGTGTAGGATGAGAGCAGGCTAAAACTGCATTTTACAGATCAGTCCCACTGGGGAAAAGGTGAAACTGTGAGATCCTCAGCAGAGCTACCACGATTTCTTAAATGCAGCCAGCTCATGCCAGCCCAGGTGGAGGCAGAAAAGGGAAACATTTGTTTTTCTTTCTTTGGTTTGTTCCCGTTGCCTCCAGTGGGGCAGCCATGGATTGTGGATATTTATGCCATCTCCCAAAGATGAGAGATGGCACATTCAGTATTCATATTGATGTTTTAATTTTCTTTCATTCTATAGAATTCAATTTGTCATAATATAAAATACGACATATTACAAAATAAAAGGAAGGAATAAAATTCAATTTAAAATCATACAGCGTTCAGCACACCACATTATGATTTCTACAATGGGAAGAAAAATCATTAGGTGGTCTGTCAATACTGACAGCAATTTTCAAATGCTTGGGAACCACTACTCTATTGGATGTTACCTTTTTCTTCATTGGCAGGAATAAGAAATGCAATAATAGGTTTGTAGTGTTACTTGTAAAAAACATTATTAATTCTATGGGGGGGACAGAGAGAATGTTGTTTACATTTTAAAGCACACACACTCCAAATTGCAAACTACAGAAAAAGGGGAAATAGGTTGAAATAATATCATCATTACAAAATACAGAGAATATTTAAGAAATATTAATTAAAAATGCAAAGGACACAACATTTATAGAGCAATTTTGAAAGCAACCTCAGAACACTCAGCACAATGTACCTTTCTTGTTTTGAATTTATTTAGTTCATCTACTTTAGCCATTTATACTCCCACTCTTCAGGATACAAATCCTTCTAAGTTAGCTCACAACAAAACAAAATTGGTTTTAAAAACTAGTTCTGCATGTTCATGGCATGGTTTGAATTGTGGAAAAGCTGGCTATGGGAGGCACTGATTGGCTAGTACCCTTGTCATCACCAACACACCTCACAAACCCCTGGAACTTTGCAACTATTATTAAAATGCTTGCACATTTTTTTTTATAAGGTGATGAATTGATGAACAAAGAGGCAAACTCAAAGATGGACCAGTGTATAACTAGCTGACTTGTTTGTATGCTCTGTCTTAAAAAAAGGTAAAGTTACCCTGACCATTAGGTCCAGTTGCAAACGACTTTGGGGTTGTGGCGCTCATCTCGTTCTATCGGCCGAGGGAGCCGGCGTTTGTCTGCAGACAGCTTCCGGGTCATGTGGCTAGAATGACTAAGCTGCTTCTGGCGAACCAGAGCAGCGCACGGAAATGCCGTTTACTTTCCCGCCAGAGCGGTACCTATTTATCTACTTTGATGTGCTTTCGAACTGCTAGGTTGGCAGGAGCTGGGACCGAGCAACAGGAGCTCGCCCCGTCACGGGGATTCGAACCGCCGACCTTCCGATCAGCAAGCCCTAGGCTCTGTGATTTAGACCACGCCCCATGCTCTATCTTAACCCTAAGCAATAATGCCCATTTCACATGATATTGAGATGAGTGGTGAGATATGTTGTTTTGTTAGTTTTAAAAAACAATAGCATATAAAATCACTACCACTAGATGCCACTATTGATCCAAATGCAAGGCCAAAATGCATAATGCATGATTGGATCTCCTGGTGTTTTTATTTTTTTATTTTTACTTAATAGCAGCCCTGGCAGGCTCCAAATTCAGATGGAGTAACTGCAGGGAGAAGGGATGCTCAGGCCATTTTCCTGACCTATATTGCCCTAACTTTTTTTTTAAGCATTTAGCCCTGAAGTGGAAGTGGTTGGGGAAACAGGTACCTGTGTTTCCTCCTTGTCCCCAGGGCTGACAGCAGCTTTGATGGATGAGGACTTAGCCTGGGAAAATGGCACAGGGATTAAGCACTGCTCTCCATCCCAGTGCTGCTGTTTCAGTTGATCTTGGAAGCTCCAACAATTGCTTTGGAGGAAGGGGGGGCAGGAATCCAGGCACTCCAGTCATGGACCTCCTCAGGAAATACTTACCTTGGCCTGCAGCCACTCACTTGGCTGATGGATTGTCAGTTCCTAAGGCTCTTTCTTTTTCACTTGGGGGGCCCTCTATATGTTTTGAACTAAAGCTCCTCCTAGCCCCAGCCAATTCTGACCATAGGCCATGTTGACCATTGGATGTGCCGGTTGGAGCTGATGTCCAACAGCTGTGTGAAGAACTGTCCAGCAGAGCACAGGTGAAAAGGCTCTGTCTTTCTATTGCCATAGGGACCACAGAAGTGAATCCGAAGGGATCTATGATGTAGTTTCAGTCTTGAGATAGACAGCAAAATGCAGAGTCCCAGCTCCTAAGAGTTAGAACACTCACTTTTTGTTCTGTTTCTCATAAGCAGCTAATGAAGTAGTAAGCAACCCTGCAGTTGAATTGCAACTGGAAGGATCAGATTTATTAATTATGGTGGAAGGGAGACGGATTTCACTAGAAAACTAGATTATGGTTTTGATAGATCTTGGAGGGGTGCAGGAACGGGCAACCAAAATGAACAAGGCATTGAAACATCTTGCCTATGAGGAGAGTGTTGGGTTTGTTTGTTTTTAGTTTAAAAATTTGGCAACTAACATGGGACATGTAGAGGTCTGAAATGCATGTATTTTTATGTTGTGATTTTATATTGTGAACCACCCTGAAACCTGTGGGTATAGGGCAGTATACTACTACTACTACTACTACTACTAATAATAATAATAATAATAATATCGTCCCCCCGACCCAAACTCCATATGCGAACATGGGGCCATCAGTCAATTGGGACCTGCACAACTTTGTTCAGTGAACCTGGGAGATCAAGGTTCACTCAGCCACGAAGCTCACAGGATGACCTTGGGCCAGACACCATCTCTTAGCCTAGCCTACCTCACAGGGTTGTTGTGATGATGACATGGGGGCGGGGAGAACTATGTACACCACCTTGAGCTCCTTCGAAGATTAAGGTGATGTGTAACTATAATAAATAAAATAAACTTTGGGCCTAAATATTTTTAGGATTGACTCTTCCTATAACCTGCCTAGCCAGTGAGATCTACTGGGAAGGCTCAGCTGTGAGCCCACCAGTAAGTGTAGCCTGAAGATAGGGAGCAATGGCCTGATACAAGGCCTTCTCTGTTGTGGCACCCAGTTTGTGGAACTCCCTGCCTCTAGAAGTGCAGTAAGTACCTTTGTTTTTTAAGTTCCTTTGATATTGAGCTTTCGTTGTCAGCATAAGATATGTCAACTCCCGCTAGCTTTTATTATTTGTTTAGTTATTTATTATTTCATTTCTATCCCACCATTTCCCTAAGGATCTCAGTGTGGCACCCATGATTTATCTGTCCTCAACCCCAGTTTTATGTTCACAGAAATCCTGTGAAGTAGGTCAGGCTGAGAGGAAATGACTGGCCCAAGGTCACCCAGTGAACTTCACGGCTGAGTGGGGATTTGAACCCATGTCTTAGTTCAAGATTCTAACTACTATACGACACTGACTCCTATCTCTTGGAACCTTTTAATGGCAGGAACTGCAAAATTGATTTCATATTTGTTGCTGTATTCTGACTGTGTATTGTATTACAGTGGTACCTCTTGTTACGAACTTAATTCATTCCGGAGGTCCATTCTTAACCTGAAACTGTTCTTACCTAGAGGCGTGCTTTTGCTAATGAGGCCTCTTGTTGCCGCTGTGCCACTGGCACATGATTTCCGTTCTCATCCTGAGGCAAAGTTCTCAACTCAAGGTAACTCTTCCAGGTTAGCGGTGTTTGTAACCTGAGGCGTTTGTAACCTGAGGTGTTTGTAACTTGTGGTACCCCTGTATTGGGTTTTAATGTATGTTGTTATTTTAATATTGCATTAAAATCATTGTATTTTATGGTTTTTATCTGCACTGTATAAACTGTTTTGTGTGGGTATATGTATATATATATATATATATATATATATATATATATATATATATATATGTGTGTGTGTGTGTGTGTATATATATATATATATATATATATATATATATATATATATATAAACAGCAGGCTTGAAATGCAATGTGATGAAATAGATAGACAGGTTCAAAAGAGAAAGAAGTCACAGCTGCTCCTTCAACCACACACAATTCACTGATGGTGTTTGCTGCCACAAGATATAATAATGGCTGCTCCCAGAGCTGGCCCAAGACATTTTGCCGCCTAAGACAAAGGATAAAATGTTCAAAAGGTAATTGGACTAAGAGCTGACTCAAACCTCAATGCTGGCAATAGGACAGCAGCATTCCTGAAGCACACCTGCGGGGGGCCACCCTGCACATCCACTTCTGGTAGCTGTGCGAGGGCCATTGCCACACCTACCTGATGTCCCCTCTAACCTGGTGGAAGTGAAACCAGGATGTGCAAGGCAGAGAGAGCATCCAGCTCACCTGCTCCTCACCAGAGTTCAAGGGGGCTTGTTGCTTTTCCCTTTCAATTCAACTTACAAATACATGCTGTTTGGGAAATAATGGCTCACCATGTGAGGGGTAAATAGCCCTTTAAGTCTGGCACAAATGCATGCACAGGCCCCAGCAGCCAGTTTTCAGAAATATAAGAAAAGGAAGGGGGAGTATGAGCCGCTAAGAAAATAAAGAGAACATTTTTGTTCAAGTCTCGCTGCTCTGTTGTAGCTGTTTTCCAAGCAGACTTTCAGTCTCCTCACATATAAGCTGGCAACATGAACAGCCAGGTGGAAGTTTAGGGGCAAGGACCTGTTTGTTAGTCATCTTTTAAGCACTTCGGACCAAGGTGGGTTTTGTTTGGAAGATGCATTTTAGGCCACATTTGAACCATATTGTTAAAACAGTCACAGCTTCTTCCAAAGAATTCTGGGGGCTGTAGTGTGTCAAAGGTGCTGAGCATTGTTAGGAGGCCTCTTTCACCCTCACAGAACTACAATTCCCAGAGTTCCCTGTGAAGAGGAGTTGATTGTTAAACCTCTCTGGGAACTGTAGGTCTGGGAAAGGAATAGGGATCTCCTAGTATCCTCTTCGCAAACAATTCTTCTCGGGCTCTCCTAGTATCCTCTTCGCAAACAATTCTTCTCGGGCTCTTTTGAGAGAAAGCTATGAATGTTTAAAATGGTATCATAGTGCTTTAATTGTACAGCCTTATTTAGCCATTCGCAAGGCACCCACATCTCTCAGTGAGAGAGGATTGACACCTTCTTGAAGCTGGGAGATAAGCTATTGCCCAGAATACTTTGCTCCCCCTTCCTTGCTAGATGGGTTCTGAGGAGGTGATGTGATTCTACTGATGACAGAGGACTAGCTTAACTGGGCAATCTTCAATTTACAGGCTGTCATAGGACAATCTTGTGAGGCAGGTAGATATGAGTCAAGAGGCAGTGTACCACGATATTGACTGCTGGGGAGTAGCATTAGGAGTGGAATTTTGCCTTCAGACTCCTGCTTGTGGGCTCCTTGAATGGCATCTGATCTGCCACCGTGTGAAGCACAATGCTTGGCAAGATTAATCTTTATAGCCTGTTTAGGGAAGTTTTTAATGTTTGATCTTTTACTATATTTTTAATACCCTGTTGGAAGCCACCCAGAGTGGCGGGGGAGGCCTGGCCAGATGGGTGGGGTATAAGTAATAAATTATTTATTTTTGATATTTTTATTATTACTATTATTATTATTAGGCCTGACCCAGAAGGGCTCTTCTTTGATTCTTACTAGGATTCAAAACTAGACACTTTCCCAACGTGCTAGTTTTGTGGGTACACGGGGATTAAAATAAAATAAAATAGTGGTACTATCTAAAAACAGGCTTACAGACTCATCTGTTGTACTGTATTTGAGAATTGGGCCTCAGACTATGTTCAGTTTGGGCACCAAATGCCCCTTTGAGAGCATTCTGGATATTTGGAAACACAGAAGTCTAGAAACAGGTCTGCATTATTTATAAATCCAAAATCAAATTATAATGTCAAGGGCTGTGAACTCTATTAACCAGCCATCTATTAAGCAGTGTGCAGGTCTCTTAAGGGAGATGCTGGAAAGCTCTGTAGCCCTGTGCAGTTAAAATTTAGCTGGAGAAACAATTAGAAAGGATATTGTGGAGAGCAAGAGTTGGTTGCCTCAGTAATAGAGTGGATGTTAAATTAGCTGGTGGTTGTGCTGCCTCTGTGTGTGTGCACGCACACACACATTTTATATCCCATTTTTCCCCCCAAGGAGCTTGTGGTACAGTACAGGGTTCTCCCCCTCCTCTATTAATCTGCACAACAACTCTGTGAGGTTGTTTAGGCTGAGAGGCAGTGTCACTAAGTGAGCTTCATGGCTGAGGCGGGGATTTGAACCTTGGTCTCCCAGATCCTAGTCCAAACTCTAACTACTATGCTACACTGTCCCTCTCCGAGGTGGTCTGCAACTAGCCTGCTTCACAAAGGCAATGGAGACAAGCAGTACATGGGAGAAGAACCAAATGAAGATATTAACAGTGCATCAGAAGGCGAGATGGTTGTATTGAATCCTCCAAATCTATGTGGATATGAGATGGTGGAGATGCCTTCTGACCCATAAGCATCTGCTTCACACTTCACAGAGGTTGCCTTAAACCAGGAGTGGGGAACTCTTTTCAGCACAAGATCCACATTTCCTCCTGGCTAGGTTTCCAGGGGTCACATGCCAGTGTGCCACAGGCAAAAGTGAGGAGAGCCACAAATGTGAGCATTTTTCTGTGTACAGTAGTATGCAAGTTTCTTCACACACTTGCATACCCACCCCATCATACACCCCATCCTACTTATTCCAGCCAGGCAACAACATTGGTAAGACAATAAGAAGTGTTGATTGGGGAGAAGGGGTGTGGCTGTGGAGCGATATATCTGGGGAGGGTCTCAAGGACAAGATAAAGAGGTCTAAGGTGCCACATTGGGTTCCTGAGCCTGAGGTTCCACACACACACACCCCATCTTAAAATAGTCAAATAAGTATAGTGTTACACTCACAAATGTTCTATCTGTAACAGACTGAAAAACAGGAGCATGTTCTGATCTGTGTGGATGTTTCACTCAACATAAAGCCTGACTCTTGCTTCGCTAGGAAAAATGACTTTTGCTTCTGTCTTGACTTGTGGGAAAAATTCTATGTCTAAGCTCAAGAGACTCCAAGCAAAAAACAAACAAACCCTGAAATGCTACAATATTTAACAAGCCTATGTGTGTTTGTGTGTGTGGAGGGGTGTTTACAACTCAGCTTGCTATGGAAAATTAGAAACAAACACTTATTTTTGATCCGCAGAGAAACTTCAGCTTCAGCCTTAAATACTGTAACGAGGAAATAAACCCCATTGAGCACAGTAAGGGCTTGCTTCTAAGAAAACAAGCTTTGGCCTATGCTATGACAATGTTTGCTGACGTTTGTGCATTTGAAGGAAAAGTGTGCCCCCCACCTTCCTCAGTCTATGGACTCTTGAGTATTATTATTATCATCATCATCATCATTATAATTACTATCATCGTTATTAAAATGTATATCCTACCCTTCCTCCCAAAGGAGCCCAGAGCAGCAAACACACAAATGATAAAACAATTGTCAATTCTACTGTAAAAGTAAGGGGCTCTGAGGGAGCCTTCCCCAACCTAGTGTCCTTCAAAGGTTCTGGGTTCCATCAGCCCCAGCCAGCCAGGCCAGAGGCCAGGAATTGTGGGAATTTAACTCCCGACTAAGGGCTCCTCCAGAATTGGGTGTGTGTTTTTCTGCCAGTGTAGTCTGCAACATGTCATTGATTCAATAGTGCATTTGTGGTGGGTTCACAAATCATTCTGCTTTATTAGTTGTTCTGCAAAGTTTCCGCAATGTTACTGCATTATTGCCATTGAGAGAGGCAGTCTTGGCACTGTACAAAAGCAAGAGTTCAAACAAACAAACAAACAAGCCAGAACACTTGTGACATAAATTACAAGATTTCAGCAGCAAGCTTTGTGACATGCGCAGATTAGAATTGAAGCATGCCTAACCCAGAACATTTGCAGACACAAGCAGTATTGAAAGCAGGGTTGCATACTACACCCTGAGAGCATCATAAGCACAAATCATCATGAATATAGGATGAAAAGGGTGTCTGGAGGGGCTGAACATCTGGAGGGCACCAGGCTGTGGAAAGCCGGTGTGACCATTGTTTACCGAAGTGTACAATGAGATTAAAGGAGGTAGTCATTGGCTCCTAGTCATCTCGCCTGAGTATACTGACTGAGACCCCAAAAGCTGTGTCTTCCATTATGCTTTTGACACCACCACCAACTAATCCCACCCTTTCACTGCACTGAGCTAAGCAACCATCCAGAATGTAATGCCTTTTGGGTACCGCTTGACCTGGGATGGATTTGAACTGACAACCCAAGGGGAATGTAATTTGTTAATACTTGAATGGGCACCAAAAAGATAACAATTTTTAAAGCAATCAGAAAGCACCAGCTGGATGCAGTGCTAACAGCTGCCCATGCTTATTCGTTCCTGTAAGTTTCATGATCAGGGGCTTTTTCTCTTGATCACTTACTATTCTCCCTCTTGGGTCTGAAAAAAGTCAGATCTCTAGCAAAGGATTAAAAAAAGAAAGATGGTTTGCATGGAAAATAAGCATGAACAATTTTCCATGGATCTTCAGCTGATGAATAATTGCCTTTGATTTGGGAAGTTTAATAAGCTGCCTAGAGGCTGAAGCCATACCAGGCTCAATGAAAACTAGCTAGGAAGGTATTGCAAAAAGCGGCAATAAAACCAGAAAACTATCTGCCCCCTCTCCTACCTCTAGAACCAGCCTCGATCATTTTCTTCACCCTGATCTGTTTCTTAGAACTCTAGCTGGCAGCTAAGAATGGATGAATTGTAGTTCTCTAAGTTTCTCGTTCTTCTGGTTTTAAATTCAGTTCTCCACATT